CTTTGAGCTCTTGCTAGGAATAGCCTACAAGTTTCCAAAACTGCACTTAGAGGGTCCTGATGCATTTTTTGGGTGAAGAAAAGCTGCACTATCCATATGACGCCCACACTTGCCTCAAACACCAGGGAACCAGGGACTCTTGGCCACTGTTCGCTCAGTGGCTAGAGCAACTTATTCCTTAATCATTGAAAACTAAAAAGAAATTTTGCCTAATTGGGATCTTTCATTTTTCTCTGAGGCTATCCCACACATTCAGATTATATTTACTTTTTGCATAGTCATTTCTTCCTAATCAACAGCAAGCATGCTTTCAGAACCGCAGGCTGGACCACTCAGCTGGGTGGGCCATTTGAACTTGAGACTAGCCTGAGGATTGAGGAAGCCCACCTGTCATGTACACACAGCATATTCCTCACTAGTTATTAAGCAGAAGTCCAGAACAAGTCTGTAGTCCAGGCCCCCTGGCAAGCTGTAGCTCAATATTAATGTCGAAGGAAATGTTGGACAGGACTTTAGGTCCTGACTCAAGACTCATTTGTTTTTCTTTCTCCCCAAAAATCACATTTAAAGCATTCAGTTCATTTTGAAGTTTTGAATCTGAAGACTTTAGCCTCTATTGGTGCTAAGAGTTCTTAGTGCTCAGCAAGCTCACTAGCTACTGTAATTTGGTCCTTGTTTGTCAACTCTTCCCCATTTCTTCTTCGCCCACACTTGCTAGCCTCTGATGCCAATACTGTACTCTTAACTTCTACAAGGGAAAGTTTCATAGAGTGTTCCATATGAGTGGAACCCTGCAGTGCATTTCTTTCTGTGTCTGCTTAGTTAACATATTATCCTCCAGTTCCATGCACACACTGTCACATGTAATTGTACTGTATTCTTCTTATGGATGCATATACACCACACATATATGCACACACAGATACACACAAACCACACACACAGACATACACATACACCATACACACAGACACACAATACACACACAGACACACCATATACACACAGACACACCACACATAGACACAGACACACACAGACACATGTACACATACCACACACACACACAGACAGACACATACAAACATAGACACATACATCACATACACAAGACGTACACACAGACACACACATACACAGACACATATGTATCACACACAGATATGCACAGGCACACACATACAGAGACACATATTCAGAGACATAAACACATCACCTACAGACATATATACCACATATACAGATACAAAGACACATATACCACACACATACAGACACATACACCACATACCAAACACAGACACATACTTACACACACAGATACACAGACACACCACACACATAGATACACCACAGAGACACACATTTATGTACACACACATACACATAGACACACATGCACAGACATACCATACACACCACACAGACACAGACACACACACTTCACTTATCCATCCACTGGTTGACAGCTAAGGCTGACAAATGTTCTTGGCTACGGAGAACAGCACCTCAATCTGCACAGGAAGCAGGTACTTCTTCAGCGCATCCATTTCATGTCCTTGGGATACGCACTCTAGTGAGATTGCTGGAGCACAGCAGCTGTACTGGAGGAACCTCCCTACCGTTTCCCTCATGGCTGTACTCCATGTTCACATCGACAGTGCTGGGCTGGCTGTGTGGAGGCTCTCCACATTCTCACTAGCATCATCTGCTCTTTTGTCTTTTTGACAATGACCGTATTGGCTGGAGCGAGGTGCCATGCCACAGGATTTTCATTTGCCTTTTCCTGATGCATAAGGGTGCTGAGCATTTTTTTTTTCATATACCTGTTGTCTATTGTGCCTTTTTTGAAGAACTGTCTTGCTATAGAGTTAAGTTCCTTGTCCACCTCAGATGTATAGTTTACAAATATTTTCTCTATTCAATAGGTTGTCTCCTCACACTGCTGACCATTCTTCTACAGGTGGAGATCCAGTTTTGCCAGCGCCATTTGCTGAACATGCTGTCTTTCCTCCAGTTAATGTTCTTGACCCCTTTGTCAAATATCAGGTGGCTGAAATTGTATTTACTCATATTTGGGTCTTCAATCTTGTTCCATTGATCTATGGGTCTATTTTTGTGCCAGTACCATGTTGTTCTTATGACTATAGCTCTGTAATACATCTTAAAATCTGGTATAGTAATCCCCCTAGTATTGCTCTTAGTGCTCAGGGTGGCTTTGGCTCTCCGAGGTCTTTTGTGTTTCCATATGAATCTTAGGATAGTTTTTCCATTCTGTGAAAAATGTCAAGATTAAAGGGGCCAATATAATTTCATAAGAGTCCATATGTATAGCTAAAGGCTACATAACAAGCAAGAATGTCAGACAAGTGATACCTTCTTTTGAGTTGATGGCCAGGGTGGCCAAAGGGATTCCCAGATAGTAACCCAGCATAGAACTTGGAAAATGAACAGCAGACCCCAATCTTATCTAAAGGAATATTGACAACCGATTACTGCTAGACGAAGAACAGCTGACCCTAAAACAAAGCCCTCTAGATAGGCTGACTAGATTCACCAGAGGGCAAGTAGTGGGGAATGGCTGGGTTGCCGACAGTACAGCAGACAGTAGCAGGGATATCAGAGTATAAGGGCTCTAGTCGGGGCAGGAAGGCTATGTGAAGGTGCCATCTGAGAAGTGGGTGTATAGTTGAATAAGATGGTTTGGGATATTCTGTGTGATA